TACTCTCCTCTGTCTTTGTCGCCAATATTCCTCTGCCTGCACTACTAGCCGCGGTGCGGCTGATGGCGGGGCTCGGGTGTGAGCCCCAACACAGAGCGGGACGAGCGAGTTCTGTTAACGACCATTGAGCGTTCATCAATGAATGTCCATATCTCCCAATCGAAACCGACATAAAAACGAGCCCGTGGATCAGTGGTTAGAGCGCTTGACTTCTAACAATCAGGTCATGCATAACGACGGCTGATTAGTCAAAAATGGCCGTTCCAGTCTCCCTTGCCTTGGCCAGGAATGCTATTCTGCCTTATATCATTAAGTGCTGTGTGGCTGCTAGCGGAGCGCTCGAGAGCGTCTCTTAGCGCTTGTCTGTCACTGTGTATTCCCGATCTGAACCCGTGGGTCAATAGTTAGGGCGTTTGGCTCCTAACAAATAGGTCGCGGGTTGGAGCCCTGGGATGATGTATCACGTGGGGTTTGGTACAACTAGCTAACGGCGGCTTATGAATCAAAACTGACCTCTCCAGTCTTCCCAGTCTTTGTTGGTAATGTTCATCTCCCTCCTAACTGGTTGCTTGCATCTTCCATCGCCGGCACACTGTCAATGAATGGTTTGTTCTCGAAACTTTTTCTTATATAAAGCGCACTGAAATATAAGGCGCATTAAAGGAGATAAAACAGTCAGATGGGTCAGTCAGTCAAACTTTCTTGAACACATTCACACTAACTCTCAACGTTGTTCAAACGAATGGAGAAACCGTAGAGAAGCTTCTACCTGCTATTGTTGCTCTCTGTTTAATAACCTACTGCTTAATTTTTTCCTCTAATCTTGGCCATTTCGCTTTGTTCTGTCGGAAACTGTAGGTCATATTCTTGCTTCCTCCACTTCCGTGTCATTGATGCATTAATGTTGAATTCTCTCGTAGCTGCTCTATTCCCATTTTCTACTGCGTGAATGATAGCCTTGTGTTTGAAGTCTCTGTCGTAAGCATATCTCCTGACAGGCGCCACTTTGGGGTCCATGCACACGAACACACTGCAATTATTATTATTATCGTCTCGTTGTAACTTACTTCGTCTACAAGCCTGTCTGAAAATATGGGTTGACACTATCGATTCCACTCAGCAATAACACCTTGCATATTCTTTGCTTGTAGCTATGTCTCTCCCGGCAACGCAGAAAGTTCCGGACTCGCGATGGGAATCTATATGGCTCTCGGATTGAGTGCCGGTGTTGCCGTATCA